TAAAGCCATATTATAACATCGACTGAGATAAAGAATAAAATGAAATATTAAAAATACGATGTATCTCGTTGCATTGCGCGAGTACGCTTCTAGTATATATATATATATATATATATATATATATATATAGGGTACGGGGTGGGGCAGGGAGTACGATACTCGTCCGCTTCCCATACCGGTTTGAGACAAATAGGGATCCTCGTCCCTGTCCCTCTCCTCGATTTAGCAGCGAATCTCCGTCCCCAAACAGAGCACATGGACCGGGTTCCCCGAACGGGTTTGGGACCATTCCCATGCCTAAGTCGACCGCCAAAAGAAAGCAATTTCTCTTTCCAACTAGCCAGCTTACTTTTGGATTTTTCAAAGAATGGGGAGCCAATCTACCACTTTGTTCATATTTGAACCAATTGGAAAGCTAAGATAGGTCAGAGGGAAAGTCCCAACGCCACAGTTTAGATGATTTGCTACATTAGTTACGGCCTGATGTGAGACACCCACCCCAAACGAATGACTTTTTTGAAGATCTATCTTAAGACTCAAAGCAAATTTATCATCAGTAAAATATCCATTCCATCAATTTAAATTGATTTTTTAGTTATTTCTCTTTCGGTTTTATCTAAATATCACTATGTCCACAATATCTACATCTACAATATTGTGGACCTGACTAAAAAACAAAAAAGAAAATTCAAATTCCACTAAATTGGCAAGTGGCATCGTCGTAATTGTAGACCTGACCGTCGTAATTATGGACCTTGTCATTGCAATTGCGTAATTAAGTTGAATCCTATAATTTTTTCTGTGTTTTAACCAAATCTACAATATTATGTATGTGAATATTACGAACATAATAACATTTAGATAAACCGTCATAAAACCAATTTAAACGGATGACTCAATTTTCCTCCCGTGTATCGGTATATGAGGTCATAAATCATAATGAAAAAAAAAATATGTCGGTGGAAAAGTGGGCCGAAACTCGTCAGCTGTTGGGAATCAAAAGGGTCAAAGAAATCAGACCCTGCACGAGCGGCCAGACGGAGCCACCTGCTTTTCTCACCCACCATTTCCATCTCTTTCATCAGCGTCGACGCATCTGGTACAAATCTCTCTGCTTTCATTGCTTATGTTGGGGAGATTATGTCTTTAGATCTTTCCTTGATGCTTACTTTTACTTGTTTTGCCTTTTCAAAACATCAATTTTCACTTGATTCTTTCTTGCCTTCTTGTTTCTTACTACTTTTTTGGTGAAATTTATGCTTTTTTTCTCTTGTGTATGTGTATTTTTCGTAAGCCAGAATGCTTATTCTTGAGTCCTCTTTTTTGGGGAACTAGGGTTTTGCTCACCTTGGCGAACCCCAATTTGATTTGCTAGGTTTAGTTTATTTGGTTCAGTTAGGGTTTACAATGTGTTGTTTTCTCCAGCTAGGGTTCAACTAGGCACATTTGGGGAATTTGTTTATTTACATAACGAAACTAGCATAGAAATATCAATAACTAGGGTTTGCGGCCTGTTCAGTTTGTCTTGGGATTTAGCAGTCTTGGAATGTCGAGTTTGACCAATTGTTGGTCGACAAACGCGTTGTTGTTTGCATATGTTTACATCATCAAAGGATTGTTATGCTTTGAATACCAAATGAACTGCTTGTCTAATCCTCAATTAGGCGATTAAGTGGTAGAAGGCCAGTTTGATGGTTTCTTAGAACACCCTAAACTGATATTGAACTCTTGCACGATTTTTCTACAAATTGCAGGATCCAACTTCTGAATTGCTTTTCAGAGGACAATGGACACAAAGAGTCAATTAGGGGTCACTGAGAAAATTTCTTGCGAAAGTGTTGACAAATTGGATAAGAGTCCTTGTGACATGGAAACCAAGGACATCCCTCATCTTTCCTCACCACCATCGATGGTTGCTAATGATGGTTTATCTTTGAGTCCCATAACCCCAGATTCCAACAAAGAGAATGCAGACTTGATGTCTAATTTTACATCCCCGTTGACATTGGTAGCTTCACCTCCGACCACAGGCTTCTCTTCTCAACCAGATCAGAGTGAAAGTGGTGATGATAGTTGTATGAAAGTAGATGATGAGATTGACAGCCCCTGCACCCCAAAAGAGGGCGTGTTTGATCCATTTGCCCCTGGTCCTGACAAGCTAATGCTGGCTCCTATTGGTATGAAACATCTTGAAGAATCTCGGAGTTTTGTTGCAAGGAGGCTTAATTTTAGTTCTGTTATGATAAAAAACGATTGTGAAAAGGTTTGTGAAAGTGGGTTTGAGGATGATATGTTGTTGGAGGCTGTGTATGAGTCTCTTTTGGAAGCCATAATTTGTAAGCAGGCAGAGGATATTGTTGCAGCAGTTGATTCTTCTTGTTGTTCAAGTCCTGAGACACCCCCTTGTGCTCCTCGTCTCACTGGTACTGCAGAAACATGCCCTGGTGCTCCTTTGAAGGCTGTGAAGAAATCAAGGAACATTGAGATGAGTTTGTGCAGAAAGCTTGAATTTGAATTTTAAGTATGAACATAAATATGAGTAGTGATAACCAAAGGCTAACCTTGATTTGCTTCTAGAATTAGTTACTACAACTTTATGGGTAGGCAAGAACTTGTTTAGTTTTGTTGTTAAAAAGCAAACTGATTCTGATGATATCTCTAGTCTTTAAGTTGAGGGTGTTGTCTGTATGGATCATACTTTATAAAGTATTTGTTGCAGAAAGTTGTCTGTATGGATCATCCATAAAAAACAGAAGTGGTTTAATGGTTTATGTTGGTATATTCATTGAATCTTGTTGTTTTTTATTCAATGATAAAGTATAGAGTTAGGATATTGGTAAATGAGGTTTGCAAATGGATATAAATAATCAAATATTACTGCAGCTTGTTTTTCAATTCTGAACTGAATTCCTCTGTTTCCAAATCATAAAAAGCACATAACTTGTCATTCAACAGCCGTGCATGCGGTTTCTTTCTCATTCTACCAACATGCATCACATTCACAGTGTGTGTGTATATATATAGGGTTAGGTTCATGTGAGACCAAGGATTTTTCGTGAGACACGATTTTTACATTTGAAACCTCACCACAAAATGTTGTGAAGGTAAAAGAAGTGGAATCTTCACAACAAAAACACTGTGAAGTTACCTTCACAATGTTTTGTTGTGAAGTTCAAGTGTAAAAATCGTGTCTCCCGAAAACAGTCTTGTCTCAGATGACCACAAGTGTATATATATATATATACACACACACACACACGAAGGATCGTGTGTGAGAAAAAGAGTTAGTGTTGAGAAGCGTAAGAATGGATCTCCACCCTTGCCACTTTTAATCTAATGCACACCCATGAATAGTGCTTTAGAGGGGAATTTATCCGGTGCATCTCACCAGAGTTGATCTTCAATTAGGATTGATCCAAGGATGGAGATCCCCTTCTCATCATAACTTCTCTTCTTGCCGGAACTCAGCCCTATACATATACGAGGCATAATAAATAAGAACCTCATATATTCTGATAACTGTGAGACATGAAGAATATGTTAGGAAGTAATAAACAACGCTATCTATCAAGAATATGAAGGGCATGAGGAAATTAAACAAGCATAACATAATCAATGAAAACAGCATGATGAAGAATTAGAAAAAATGGTGGTTGTAAACATATACATTTTCCAAATTTTGTATAGTTAAAGGACTCCTTCATTAGTAGAACAACTAGCAATTACTTTTCGGTCATATGTCTACGTTTATTGCAGTTTTTGGTGCCAGAAGATCCTTAGTCCATCTTCAATTAGATTTGACACCAAATCACTAATTTGGTTGTGATGGATGACAGTACACCAAATTTGGTGTGATGGATAATAACACATCAAATTTGATACAACACTTCATTTACACCAATGACAAAAGATAGAAAGAAATATATCTAGAATTTTATATGTTGGTGCACGACTTGGCAGAGGCCAAACACGAGCTTTAGACACTCGGGGCGAAATTGATCCTTTGATAAATCTATCATATAAACGAGTCTAATTTGCTCCAATATAAAAAAAATACAAAAACCAGCGTAATAATATATTAAAACTCTAAAACAAGACAAAAATATGCAATCATCAAACATTATTCAATGTAGAGTCTTGCAATTTCCTCAAAACTATTTTTTTTTCAACAATTTAACTTTTTATTAACAAAAACCAAGTCATTCAAAAACTTATCTTCTCTCTTCGCCCCACCTTTGCAGCCTTCGGCTGTTCAAAACTGCCTAGAATGGACGCTCTACGGCCTTCCATACGAAAGTTTGATATGGTGTCGACAGCAAAGGGTCACGATGCTTTAGTTTCCCTTTAGGTTCTCTCATCCTAATTGACGACAATCTAATCAAGTAACAACTACATAGGAAAGATTGGTTACGTGATAATACATGGTTTTCCGAGATGAGGTCCGGATCGTAGGTTCCTTACAAATTCGATTTTTTCTTCTGATTTCAGTGAGGTCTTTGGTTGCCAATGATGGCTATTTAATCACCTCATTGCTTTTAATAAAGATTTAACCAGGACTTTGTAGTCGAGAATCACATATATTTGAGTTTCCATAGTTTTAGATAGGCGTTCCCAAATAAAGAAGAAATTTTATTGTGCATTGCGTAATGACAATAATTTTTTTTAAATTAGTTAGCTAAATGAGTCGATGATCACATTTACATATTAAATTAATAAGAATCAATAATTATTTTGATATATGAATCCACCTTATCATTATTGATTGTTCTTTATTTATATATATATATATATATATATATATATATATATTAATAAGTCTTATATATCAATCTTTTATTATATCAAACTTTGTAATTGGTTCAAATTCATAAAAAAATATGAAAATATTGATTATAATCATGAGGTGTATTATGAGAATTGTTTTGTCATAATGCATATTAATTTGCTCATATTAGGGCAACTCCAATCATTACACTAAAAAAACACCAAAAACACCAAATCTGGTGGGCCCATAAACACAAAAAAAAAAAACTCAACTTCAATCACACTCTAAAATAAACACCAAATTTGTGGACCCCACATTAAAATAACATATTTTATTTACTATTTTTAATAACAATATTTATAATTTGTAATAGATATTATAATAATAAAGAATTAGTAATTAATTACTTTAATGAAGAAATGTTAAAATAAAAACGATAAAATTGTAATTAATAAATTTTATATTTAAAAAGATTACATTAGTTCAAATAGCACAAATTAAAAAAACATATAAATAATACTAATTATCCGAGTTAGTATACTCGTCCCACAAATGATCAATTAATGCATTACGAAGTTCAAAGTGAGCATCTTTATCCTTGATCTTTTTGTGCCGAGCAAGAAACTGTTCAAGTCCACCATCGTTCATCATCTCAACTTCCACGTCTTGCACTTCACTTCGTTCTTCAATTGGTGCATTAATATCATGTTCATCTTCTATGATCATATTATGCATAATGATGCACGAAGTCATTATATCATGCAAGATTTCCTTCCTCCATAACCGTGCAGGACTGCTACTATTGCAAACTTTGATTGTAATATGCCAAATGCACGTTCTTCGTCTTTTCTACATGCTTCTTGTTTCTTTGCAAAATATTGTTTTTAGGGCCACGTGGATCGTGAATAGACTGAACAAGAGTGGCCATTTTGGATATATGCCATCAGCTAAATAATAGCCCATATTATATGATTTTCCTTTGATGACATAATTAACAGAAGGAGCAGTACCTGCTGCAAGATTTGCAAAAAGATGGGAGGACTCCAACACATTAATGTCATTGTTGGACCCCGGTAAACCAAAATATGCATGCCATATCCAAAGATCATAGTCAGCTACAGCTTCAAGAATAATACTTGGAAATCTACTACGACCGGAATATTGTCCTCCCCAAGCGGTTGGATAATTCTTCCATTTCCAATGCATGCAATCTAGACTACCTAACATTCCTGGAAAACCTCGTTGTTCTCCAACTTGGAGTAGTCGTGCCACATCATTAGCATTGGGTGTTCGGAGATAGCGTTCTCCAAACACCTCCACGATGGCACGACAAAACCGCTTCAAAGCTTCTAAAACCGTCGATTCGCCTATTTTAACGTACTCATCTGTAGCATCTGCAGCCACGCCATATGCCAACATTCGAAATACAGCAGTAACTTTTTGATAACCGGACAACCCAAGTTTGCCGCATCCATCCCTTCGTTAGAGAAAGTAGTTGTCATGACTTTGGACAGCATCCAAAATACGAACAAATAAAGTACGACTCATTCGGAATCGTCGACGAAACATCGACTCAGGAAATCGAGGATTTTCAGAAAAATAATCATTGAAAAGATTGCGATCGGCATTTTCCCCATCACGATTGATAACTATATGGCCAGGAATAGAACCACGATAAGAAGATAATTGATTGTTGACAGCATAATTTCGGATATAATTATCCATTTCATACGCTAGATTGAATGCCTCGACCATTAGTTCGTCCTGTGTATTATCAAAAGCCTCATCGTCTGAATACGAATTATTAGCCATTTGAGTGGTATTTCTCAACAAAGAAGATTGCAAAATATAGTTGAGTTATTTTCATTGAGCTGTGATTCACGTTTTATAGTGAGAATGAGTGGTGTTGTCAATTCTTACCAGACTTTTCAGAAGAATCTTGTCAGACTTTTCAGAAGAATCTTGCCAGACTTTTCAGAAGAATCTTGCCAGTGTGTTGTCCAATTGTCTTCATTTGTAGTGAACTGAAATTTTTGTGTATAAATAGGGGGCGAGTTGGTAAGCTAAATAACACATATTTTCATTGAGATATTACCAGTCTTTTCATAAAAATGTCTTCAATAAACCGAACTTCATCCTACAAAGATAGCGAAGACATACAACTATGTCATTGTTATCTTGATATAACTCAAAATCCAATAATAGGTATAAACCAATCAAAAGATAAGTTTTGGTCAAGAATAGAAACTCTTTATCACCAAACCGAACCGTTCGCAACCAATCCTCGACCAAGAAGATCATTGGAAACGAGAATGTCTTGCATTCTAAAAGCTTGCAAAAAAATGTGAGGGTGTATCAATCAAATTGAAATGAGGAATCCAAGTAGTGCTTCTGAACAAGATATCGTAAGTATTTATTGTTTTACTTGCTCATTGTTTTATTAATTTAAATATAACGTGTATTTTTCATAGATGAACGAAGCGAAAGAGCTGTTAAAACTTGATGGATCCTATAAGAAGGGTTTTAAGTTTGAATCATGTCTGGGACATCTTGAAAGACTCCGAGAGTTTATCAAATGTCATTGCATCAACTCAGTATCAACGACAAAGTCCTTACCAATCACCTTCTTCCGGTCCTGGTTCATCGTCTGGGACAGATGTCGGTTTACCGTCGTTGACTATTCATGACGTAGAAGGTACTCAAAGACCAATTGGAGTGAAAAAGGCAAAATCAAGGCTACAATCTGATAATAAGCTAGAGACCTTAGTTAAGGCTAGTAAAAAAAATGAGCAAACAAATTGCTAAAACCACTGAAGTTATGATGCGAAGGAATGAGCTTCAAGCTCAGAAACTTGCATTAGAGGCAAGGTTGGCGGATGACAAACTTATGTGCATCGATCTAACCTCTATCACTGATCTTGTGTGGTATGAGTTCATAAAAAATGAGAAAAT